CTTCTATCAATCGAAAGGAGACTGCGACCACACCAGAGGCCACAACATCTTGGTCTTCATATATTCAACCGACTCTTGTTGTCCAGGCTTACCTGAAACATTCTGGTTGACGTTGTTACCGAGACAGCGTTTTTCGATTTTGACGAAAATGGGCTGAGATCTCGTCGGTCATGTGGTAGATGAAATTGACACACAGCCAATGCGAGTTAACAAATTAAGAAAAAAGGCCTCCCCTCACTTGCCCCTACAGGCTGCCGGTACACTTTGAACGGATACATTTGTATGAAACATGCAACGATTTGGTCGGTTCATGTCATATGTCAATCTATGGAAGTGTGAATGCACGAGGTGTAAAATTGGCGATGATGGCACAGATTAATTAGAACAGAAGGTAACCTCTGTCCTCAGTCATCAAGGTTTGATAGCCCTTTTTTCAACCATCATAACGGTTGCGTAGGGCCAAACAAACAACCAGATAGGTTGATGGGTTTTGTCTGCCTGCAGTTGGTGTATGCATATACAAATGGATACAATTTGCATCAAATACCCACATAAATACATATATATATATATATATATGTGTGTTTTCGTGTGAAATACCTAAAAAAACACATGGCGTAATGTTGGAATGCGCGAGGCGTCGTCATGGTCAAAATGTACGGTAGGAATGACTCGGCTTGTGCTGACTTTCTGCAGATTGTGATTAGATCGGCATAGTTTGACCAGTCAGTCAATGCGGTGTCTGGTACCGGGAGAAAGTGTTCATTTTCTGGTAGGTCTTGGGGACTCTGCCGTTTAATATCGAGGTTCAAACAAAAAGAAAAAGGCTTTTGGAATCGTCAATAGCTTCATAATGAATACTTTGTCAGCCACAAAATCTACTTGTTATTAATGTAAGTAGTGTGGTAGATCTCAATAGGAAAATACACATCTGCCTAATCGATGGTATGAATGCCTGGCTCGCCTTGAACAACATGTTAAAGCTATACGCTACCCGCAGAGCACGAGTTCGATTCGGGTTGGAAATGCTGATGTGACTGCATTCCACTTGGCAATGGCATGGCTTTTGAGAGCACAAAAGGTGTGAAAAAGTGAGGTTTATGCAAATCAATGCTAGGAAATTAATCACATTTTACGACCAATGTATATGATTGTCATTATGAATAAGCTTGGGGTCCATCGCTTGAATAAGAGTGACTTTCTGTTTCCATGCCCACCAGTCATGTTAGAGCTAAGGTGAAAATTCGACAGTACTACACTCTTATTATTATTATTATTTATACAATATATATATATATGTAATAATAGGCATTTAATGTATAATTAAATTTAGTATAATTGTACACAAATTGTTGGGAAAATCTTCATTTTGTGTGAACTCAGGCCGTACTGCGGTCGTTTAACTTTAATAAAAACTTTCTGGTTGACGCAGTCCACGCGACATCCTGCCGCGTCTCGGGACAAAAACGATGTGAACTTTACTTCATCATTTTACGTACATCATCAGAACTGGCAACAAATTTTCGTGAGAGCCTCAAGCTAACAAATAAGTCGAAAAGACTGTTCGACTCGTTCATGTCTCTTACGCATAATCGAGTAAAAAGGGAAATGAGCAGGCACAGGTTGATGCAGAATGTCTGTTCCTATCATCCTTCAGCGGTTCTGCTGCTTTTGCTCGAGCGTCTGTGTGTGTGTGTATGTCTTCCCGACAATCTTGTGTGAGGAGAGTCATCGAATCCCACTTACTCTCACTATCTACTATATGCATATTCACATAGATGCATACATACAGTGCACATTAATAAATAATGAAGTATCGCCGCGTCGTCAAGTTAGATCTATGCCCACCGGGTGTTTTGGGAGTGGTGAATGGGCGGGTGAGTGGGTGGGTGGGTATGTATGTATGTGGCAGGGCGGTGGTGAACACGACCGAAGGGAGCAGCAACTTGGCATCATGATTTGCATTGACAGCTTGACTTGAAAGAGATGATGATGTCGTGGCGGCAACCCGTCGGTTAGTTGCCAAGTCAGAAAGAGAGAGAGAGAGAGAGGTGGGGGTGAACAGCGATGGGAAATTCGGAGATGGCATCAGCTTTGCGGTAACCAGGGCGAACGAGGGCTGGAGGAGAGGCGGTTTGACGATCGGTGGATGCGAGTATGAGGCTGAGAAAGTGGGATTGTTGCAGTGACGATGGTGACGGGCAAAATGACAACTCGGTGCCAAGCGGATGAGTAGTAGAAATGGTGAGGAAATGTAAAAGGTGTAAGGGTGAATTGAGAATGTGAAAGGAAGGGAGTAGACATTTGTGGCCCATTGGGACAAAGTGCATTGGCGTCAGATGGCGCTTAAAAATGAGAGAGTGAGAGAGAGATAAAGAGAGAGAGAGAGAGAGAGAGAGAG